TATTTAGAAGGCAACGGGCGGTGTCTGCCACAATTCCTAAATTTCTAAATTTCCCTGTTTGCCTATATAAATCCACAAGTTCTCCTTCTTGCTCATGCTAGTTTGGGATAGGTGTTTGCGACTTCCAAGAAAAAGAGCCATGAGTCGTATACCTGACAAATGCCACCACCACCACCTGATCCAGCTACACCAGAATAATCCTGCCTTCAATTTCCAGTTATCACGGGCACTTTCCCTGAAGTAAGGCAATCATAGGGACAGGGTTGATCCCACAGGTGGCCAAAGCAGACAGACAGACGGACACTGCCAGCATGGTTGCTGGAGTCTAGCTCCCCTCCCCACCAGTTTTGCCTATGGAGGACTAAAGAAGGGCTACCTTTAAAGTTTTCAGCACCATGAACTTCCACCTAGTCACTGTGATCCACCCCATCCCCTGAATCCGGCAATGCCACCCAGGGCTCACTGCTGCCAAGAAAGAGGGGAAAGCAACAGCCATCCCTATCTGTCACTAAAACACTTGGTACATCTACGTGACAGGTTGCTGTGCAGCAATAAAAGAGAATGGCGGAGTTCTGTATGTTCTGATGTGAAACACTTTCCTAAAGGCATCGGTAAGGGGGAGAAGCAAAGTGCAAAACGGTATATACAGGAGATAATCATTTGTGCTAAAAGGAAGGAAAAACAATATACATGTAAAAATTTGCACCTGCCTAAAATATCCCGGGAAGAATATACATTGCTAGAAATTGGTGCCATTAGCTGCCTCTGTTATCAACAGGGAGTTTAGCAAATAGGAGGGAGGCATTTTTATGTCTTTTAAATCTTTTAAATTCTGGACTTTGTGAAACCTATTTGGACCTATTTGCACCTATCTGGATCTTGTGAACCTTTCTGAGAAAGAATTAAAATACATTTCTTGAAGTAAACACATTTGTGGTTTGCGGTGGTATGCCTCGTTTTTATGTTTCCTTTTTCAAAGCAGAGCAACAGGAAAGAGGAAACTGGCAGCCAGGGCTGAGAAGAAAAAAAGGAAGAAAAAAAGAAAATTTGCATCTATTTAGCAATAAAATAGAAATAATGTCTTGATTAATGGCCGCTTTTCTTCTGTTGTTCTCAAAGCATTTATAGACATCATCTCATTCATCCTCTCTCTCTTTCTTCCTCTGTTCTCTTCTACAAGTTGTGGGGAAATGGAACCAGTTCCCTTCAGCTCAGAGGCGAGGACCGGCTTGAACTCCGAGTCTCCCAGCCTGGTGGGCTCCCAACCTGCTATCGGGTCACTTACACATTTGCCCAAACTGTTGCCTGTGCCCCGAATTCCCTTTCTTCGTCTTCTTATTCCCAAAGCCACTCCAACATGCTTCCTCGCCTGAAAACAGCTGTTCCTTCTTTTACATCAGGGGTCGGCAAACTTTTTCTTTTAAAAGCTGGATAGGAAAGGTTTTAAGCTTTCAGCGTCATCCAGTCCCTCTCTTGGAAATACTCAACTCTGCCACTAGGGGGCGAAAGCAGCCACAGACAACACAAACAAATGAGCAAGCCTGGTCTGATAACAATTTACAAAAACAGGTGGTGGGCTGGATTTGACCTTCCGGCCCCTCCTGTGACACCCTCCCCCCCGCCCCAAGGCAATTGCCATCAAATTAGGCATCAGCTAGCATTATGCATTACATTATCCGTTAGGGGGTTACCCTTCTGTCTTCCTCCAAAAGCAAAGTCCTTGAGGATGAGGTCTGTCTTTTACATTTTCCCAAAGAAGACGTACAGATGCCAATAGGCCCATGACAAGATGTTCAACATTACTTATCACCATGGAAATGCAAATCAAAACCACAATGAGATATTATCTCACACCTGTCACTTGGAAACCCAAAAAGGATATAGCCTTTCCTTGGCCCCTGCCCACCGTGCTCCACCAGACACCTATCTCGGCCTCCTGCACACAAAGGAGGAGTCTAGAAAAAATCCCAGCTGATTCAGTCCCCTCACCCAACCCAGGCAGGGCTGCTGTTCCTCTGACTCCCAGTAGGGGGAGCAGCTGCTCCCTCCATCAGCTCCAGGGACCTCTCCAGTCACCAGCTCTTCTAGGCGTCCCTGGACCTAGGAGACTCTCCCCAGAGTTTCAGTCTCCCACGGCCCCCCAGCAGTGGCGGTGCTGTCCAAACTTCTCAACGATGCCGAAAATGCACAGGATGAAATGCCCCTGCAGACTACTGGGAGCTAGCTGGCTCTCCCACCAGGACTGCCTCCTGCCTTTGGCCCCTGAAGTCTTGAGGAAAATAAGTGAAATACATATTTGGACACAGAAATGATACATGAAGCTGCCATCACACCTTAGAGCCATTGGGCTTTCTTCTCTAAATCAGTCACCTTTCCCTTAGCCCCCACTCCACTTCCTAGAGCCCGGGTGTGACTTTGAAAAGTGACTAGTGTGATGAGGAGTTGAATTTTTACTTCTTTTAATTCATCTAAATTTTAAAGCAAATAGCTCATTCAGTTATTGGATCAAGTATGGCTGGGAAAACGTAAGGAGGTGAATATACGTATTTTTTCCAACTGTAAATTTTATAAAGTTGAAATACATATCAAGTACCTCCAATAAAAATTAAAGAGTCCAGGTGAGATGCGCTGCACATATAAAATACATAGTAGATTTAAGTGCTTTACGTCAAAAAGAAGAATGCAAAGCTATCACATTCAGAATGATTTATATTGATTAAGTGTGAAAATGACATTTTGGAGATCTTGGGTTAAATATGCCATATTATTAAAATTAATTTTACCTGTTTCTTTTTCCTTTTTTCCCTTTACAGTTGACCCTTGAACAACACGGGATGAACTGTGTGGGTCTGTTTATATGTGTATTTTTAACAGTAAATACTACAATGCTGCACAAGCTGCAGTCGGTTAAATCTGCAGAGGTGTAACCACAGATGCAGAGGGGCCACGGATACCGAGGGCCGACCGTAAATTATACCCGAATTTTCCACTGCTCAGAGGGCTGGGGCACCCGATGCCCCATGTTGGTCAAGGGTCAGCTGTATTTTTCTAGCAGGCAGCACTTTTCTAGACCCTCTTCTAGCTTTCCCTTGCATTGGGAAACTGGCCAGAGACTCCAGCCGCCCCCTGGCAGGGCTGCCTTCCTGGTGGTATCAGGGTGGTATCCTCAGAAGGAGCCGCCTGAGGCTCGTGGAGGCGAAGGAGGACAGCAGGAGCCTCCACAGGCAGAGCGGGTCAGACCTCCTGTGGAAAAGCCAGCCCCAGGCCATCCACTCCCACCCCCAGCCCCACCTCCCACGGTGGGATCCCTGCAGGCCCGCAGTGGACCCTCTCCTGGAGACCAAGGGACGACAGACACATGGTCCCAGCCCTTTAGGGACACGTGGCTTCATGGGGAGGGCTTCCACAGTCAAAGGAGAAGAGCACTGGTACCTGCGGGAGGGTCTAACTCAGCCGGGGGTGGGGGTGGGGGGTGCGCAGGGGAGTCTCCCCAGATGGGGCGGCACTGGGGCGGCGTTGCGGGAGGTTCAGACCTCTCTCCAGCTGACCTCCGTAGTGGCTTTGCTAAACCAGATGCAGGAACTTGGGCACCATTGCCCCTCTCCAAGGCTTGGTTTCCATCTTGTAAAATAAGACGGTTCAAACAGACTCTGCTTAAAAATGCAGTTATTCAACACAAGCGTTCTTTTCTCTACATAGCTTTGGCAGAGAAGTGGGGCTCCAATCAGGCCCAAGGCCAGGCCTTTACTTTTCCCCAAGAGCTAACTCAGGAGTTCATTTCCATGCCCAGCGCCCAAGCCCAGGTCTGCTGGAAACGCAGGCCAAGTGCTCATTAAAGATACACGGAAGGGAGGGCCGCCGGCACAGGGGTGCCAGCCCTCCTCGGCAGGACCAACGCTGAGAGTTCAGCTTTCCGTGGCTGCTCTCCTGGTCTCTGGGGAGCACCTTCGTTCCAGGAGGCTCTGAGCTGGAAACACACACACAAGATGGATTTGGGCACAGGTCCCCATCGCAAATGCCAGCAGGATCGGAATATCCAGCAGAGAGCTTTCTGGGTTTCTGGTGCCTAAGAAAGACCTGGGAGGCCAGGGTGGCGGGGATGGAGAAAGCTTTGGAGTCGAAACCCAGAAACCCACCTTGAATCCTGACTCAGTCAACAACTAATTCAGTGCCTTGGGAATAACAACAATAATAATAATAATGTGTGTGTGTGTTTCCCTCCATTTGCCAGAGCAAAACAGGAGTGTAGATCCAGTGCAGTGGGGACGAAAGAGGACAAGTTTACCTCCAACTATAGGGATGGGGGATGAGTCCCTGGCAGGCGTTTGGGGGAACAAGGAAGCCCAGAGCTTGTGGCCGTGAGAGTTTAAAGCGAGACACATCTCCCCTTTCTGTTCACCAAATTTTGTTCGTATCTCCTTCCTCTCAGAAACTCTCTGCAGCAGTGAGCTGAGTCTTCTCTGTTCTGAGACGTAAAGTTGGTCTGCAAACGACTCAATGCTTGATCCTTTACCCTAACGAGCTGCATTTATCGCTCTCAAGAACATGCACAATGGTTTACGACTATCACGTTTTGTGAGTGTCCCTCCAACATGACATGGAATTCCTTCGATACTTGCTTTTGTTCTCTGCCAGCCAGCTACACAATCTCTGGATTGGAAGAAACTCTGAAGATTATTCTAGCTGGACCCCCATCTTCTTCTCCCCCCACCACGGATTCCTCTGCAACACTGATTTGTATGCCGCCTGCCTCTTTATTCTGTGCAAAACAGGATGTTAAAAAGGGGTTCTTTCTCTTTCAGTATTGGCTGCTTCCCGTTTCAAAGTGAGGGCTGAGACCACCAAGACTTGGGGAGGACGTAGTCAGGTTTTAACAGCCCAATCCAACTCTGAAAACTTGAAGAAGTTGGAGAAGCAGAGATAGGAGCTGGTGCTAGATTAGGATTTGGGGAGAGAGCTGTCAAGTCTAGACGAGCATGCTCCCCATGGGGGAGGGGCGCTGTCATCTCACTGACAGCCGGGGCAAAGGGGCTTTGGTGACTTCTTGGAAAGCTGGATGTGTGTCCCTGGAACATGAAGGACTCGATAGGCTGGGGTCTGATTCAGCCTGGAAAATCTAAAGGGCCAGAGCCCCTTACTGGCTAGCTGTGCTGAGTGTCGAGGGAGGAGAGGAGGAGCTGAAGGTGGCCTGCTCTCCACAAGGTGTCGTGGCAAAGGATGTGGGCAAGTTTCCTGTGAACCAGAACTGGCTGAGGAAGTGTACCGCCAGATGCTGGGGGAGTGAAGAAATAGTGCAGGAAGAATCAGAAGAGACACAACTCCCCGTCAAGCAAACTGCAGGTGCCCACCAGGAACAGGGAGCGGCTGGCTGCAAAGAGCCCAGGAAGGAACGTTCAAGAAGATGAATCCACTGGGAGACCCGGGGGCTAGAACACCACCAGTCCAGTAAGTCTTTTCCCATCCCTTTCCTCCTCTCTCCCCCTTCCCAACACTGGAGGAGCCAGAAGCAGCCCCGGGAAGATGGGAGGAAAACAGAAAACTAAGTGAAGAAAAAGAGACAAAGAGCCCCACCCCCTCCTCACCACAGGGGCCAGCCGGAGGCAGCCAGGCTGGGGGAGGGAGGAAATTTGTATTTTCAGTGAAGATTGGAGGGGCTGAGCGCTTACATGGGAGGGGGCCTATTCCTTACTAAGTACAGCCTGGGCTTTTGTGAGAGAGGTAACTAGACGAGTGTTTCACAGATAAGCTTGACAAAAGAAATCCAATTTTATCAAGGAGCAAGCTGATAGAGATGAAAAAGCCTTTGAAAATGTCTACCCATTAATCTAGCAATTCCACTCCTTGGGATTTATCCTTAGGAAGGAATCAAATATGTGTACAAAGATATATGCACAGCATATTTGATTTTAGCATAATTTGCAAGAGCAAACATTGGATAGATAGTGGATAAATAAATGACAGCATGTCCATATGGTGGAATGTTCAACTTGTAGATGAATATTTTCTTCCAAGGAAAAAACTTCATAATCTATTATTCTTTGAGGAAAAAAGATTTGAATGCCATGTACAGTATGACCTCACTTTATTTCTTTTAATTGAAATATAGTTGATTTACAATGTTGTGTTAGTTCGGTGTATAGCACAGCGGTTCAGTTATACATATATACGTTCTTTTTCATATTCTTTATCATCTTTATAGGTTATTACATGGTATTGATTATAGTTCCCTGTGCTATACAGTAGGACCTTGTTGTTTATCTACTTTATATTTAGTAGTTAGTATCTGCAAATCCCAAACTCCCAATTTATCCCTTCCCACCTCCTTTCCCCACTGGTAATCAAAAGTTTGTTTTCTGTGTCTGTGAATCTGTTTCTGTTTTGTAACTAAGTTCATTGGTACCATTTTTCTAGATTCCATACGATCCCACCTTCTGAATCTGTGTGTGGATGTCACTGTCGTAGTGGACAAGGAGGGGGAAGGGTGCCATCAGCATCTCTTGGGTAGGGATGATTCTAAACTTCTATGCACAGAACCGCTCCCCAACATGCACAACAAAATGTCAGTACTGCTGAGGTTGAGAAGTCCTGAGGTAAACTAACCCTGGCATTGACCTGAGTGCCAACTCTCACATCCCGATGAACCCTGTTTTGTAGACTACCGCTGTGTGGCTTTTCCCTCCCACTATCTCCGAGGTCATCTGGTATACCAAGCAGGTAGGCTTGGCCACACCCCCTGGCTTGTTTGTCGTTGCATCCTCAGTGCCTAGGACAGCTCCTGGTAGATAGAAAGTGCTCAACAAATATCTGTTGAGTGGCTGGATGGATGGGTGGATGGAGGGATAGATGGATGCATGGATGGATGGATGGATGGCATGGGCTGCAAAGGAACTATCACATGAAGGAAACAGTATAAAGATCTCAAAGTTGTGTCATTGATCAAAGAGTAAACAAAAAGTATCTTTCCACCCTGAGTTACGTGGGGTATGGGAGAAAAAAACAGACTGAAATTGAGGGGGTTACAAGAATATTGTTTCCTTGGAGAAGAGACAGGATTTGGGGAAACCATAGAGGTGAAGGAAACTCAGCCAAGAGTCTGAGGATATAGGGTTGGTTGTTGGCCATGGGTTGAAATTCATCTAGGCTGAAGACTTAAATTTACTTTTCTGAATCTAAATGGTAGCAAACTGGTGGCCATAAAAAAAAAATGGAAACAAAATCCAACCCCGTCTCCTTAGAAAACACACACATACTCAGAAACTGTGCTTCCTGTGTAGGGGGTCATTAATGGCCCAGGAATAATGTTATCACCATAGCAGCCTCCACCCTCACCCCCATACTCAAATTCTTCATACCAGCACTGTTATACAAGGCATTTTCTCAGCTGCAGAAGTTTCAAACTCTGAGATTCTGTATTTATGTGGAGATCTGACTCCACTACCTAAAATGCAGAGTGAAGAATAAGTTAGCATGGATGCAGAAATGAGAAAGTGGGAATGGCTTCTCTGTGAGTCAATACTGAAATCTAAAGTGATTTTCCTCCCTTAGAAGTAAGAACAAAACAGCCCAAAGCCCATAGAAGACTGTCTGCTCTCAGTGCACAGGGGTTTCCAAAATACATGGGCTCCATCTGATATGGTGAATTCACTGATTTGTGTAACAAACCATAAAATTAAGTGTATGTACTTAGAGGACTGGGGCTGCCAAATGGATCCTCCAAAGTAATTCCGCCTTTTTGATTTGCTGCACCATTTTTAGCCAAATCTAGTGTAATGCTCTAAACATTTTAATGAAAATGGAATCTCACAAACCTCCAAGTAGCTAAGGACAACCTCCAACTTTTAATGACAGAGTTGAGGCAGGAGCTAAGGATCAAGAGAAGTCCAAGGCAGGGTAGGGGGTTAATGGATTGGAGATCATGGAAGCAGCTATCATTTCTGTCTCACTGAACCCAGGGGACAGGGTCAGAAAAGGGGGCTTACGGACAAGTGCAGGACACGAGAGAGGCTTGGCATGGAAGAAGGGGCTGTAAGCACCCAGCACCTCTTTCCTCTCAAACCAACGCACCTTTCATCTGACATCCATGCTAGGGTTTGTAGTAAGCTTTCATAAGGTTTGAGTAAATGATTTGAATAGTACTAGTCAATTCCACTGAGATGACATAATACTTGTACCAGATCCTTCATTCCCTTAAATCCCCAGGAGATTACCCATAGAAGATTCACTGCCATATTTCCACTCCCCAACACTCAGAGGCTATCTCCTAAATGGGACAGACTTTGTCTGGCACTCACTGTTTACTGTAGCTCCTAGTGGGAAAATTATGGAAAAATAAATACTTCAGTGAGCATTTACTGAATTCCTACTCTGTGTTAGACATGAGTGATAAAAATATGAGTATGAGATCATCCTTCCCTACAAAGAACTTACAGAATAATAAAAAAAGAAAAACACAAATGTAATGTGAACATATGTTGACTCATTTAGAATGTATTCCCCTGCAAGTGACAGAACAGCCCCCAAATTGTGACTTAGGCAACAGATGGTTATTACTCTATCTCACTATATCTAAAAGCCTGAAAGAGAAAATTCCCAGGTTGGTTATCAGCTCAGGGATTGCAGGGATCTGCTTCACCCTCTCCATGATTCTCTTGGTTTTCTCCTCATAGTTGCAAGATGGCTGCTGCAGCTCCAGACATCACTCCTCACAGAACTTCATTCAATGGAAGAAATGAAAAGGAAGACGTGTTCTCTGCATCACTCCTTTGTTGTCATGGAGGTCCCAAGAGTCCCTTAATAGGTTTCTGCTCCAATCTTTTTCAGCAGGATTGAATCACATCCCAGACCTTAGCTCCAAAGCAAGCTGGGAAAAAGAGTAAAGGTTTTCTTAGTATTTATTGAGAGAGGCAAATTCCACCAGCAAATAAATGAGAGAAGGAATGGCCGTGGGTAAGCAATCAACAGGGTCTGGCATGTATATCAGATTCAATGACAGAGAAGCATATAGCCAGCTGTGGAAGCATGGAGGAAAGACACCTGTCCTGTGAAGAGGAGAATCCCTGGAGCTGATAACACCTGAGATGAATATTGAAGAACAAATAGGATTTAGCAAGATAAAGATGATGAGGGAAAGGATGGGGTGGAATGAGGTTCCAGGTAAAGGAACAGCATAAGCAAAAGCATGGGGTGGTGAAAAAATGTCAGCACCAATTTAGTATTACAAGAACATCGAATGACAGGAAATGTATCTGTCAAGGGCTTGGTCCCAAACGCCTCCTGGTCTATTTGCAGGAGCTTCAACTTGCAACAAAGGCCAGGCATTGCAAACTTGGAGCCTAGAGGCCAAACCCAACCTTCAGATGTGTTGTGTTTGGCAGACACAGTGTTTGCACTCTGAATATACAATGGCTGGAGACAGGGCACTTCTCTCCAGATGAAACCCTTTCTATTGTCTTTCACCTGGCCTGCTTCCCTCATTTACGTCATCTGCCTGTTCTCTCAAGGTTTTTGAGTTTGCCTTCCCTGAGTAGGCTCTGGGGAGCCACTGAAAGATCTTAAACAGCGGAATGACACTGCCAGTCATACATCTTATATTAATCCTTCTGGCAGAGTGGGGAAAGCATATTTACAAGGACCACCCTGGAAACAGAAAGATGGCAGAAAGTACATTTTTCAAAACTGTTGGTTGCAAGTGTCAGAAACACAACTCAAACCTGCTTTAAAAAAGGATATAACCAAGATTAATTTAAGCTTCAGTTATGGTTGGATCCAGGAGCAACATGATGACAACATGTCTCTCTAATCTGCTTTCTCATGTTTTGACTTTATTCTCAGACTGGCACTGCTCCTAGAGAAGATGGTCTCTGCCAGCTCAAGACTGAAGTGATTTTTAAAGCCAATTGTCTCCAAGAAAAGAGAATTTGCCTTCCTGAGAATTCTAACAAAATTCCCAGGGAAGACTTTGATTGGCCTGGCTGGATCACATGACCATTCATGAGCAAAAACAAACAAGGCAAACAGTGGCCAGAAGACGAATCCCCCTCTGCATAGGACCCCACCCCACACATGAACAAAGGAAGAGAAACCTTGCAAAGAAAGAGTAGTAGGAAAATTAGGAGTAAATTCAGAGTCAAATGATGTCACAGACACCAAGGAAAGAGAACTTTAACATTGAGAGGGCAACTCTTTCAAATGCAACTATAGTATATTTTATTAAAATAAGGAACTGCAATGTCTTCATTGGATTGGTAAAATGTTGGGCACTGGTAACAATGTTTTGGTAGGGTTATGGGGATGGGAGTGGGGGTGGAATGAGAGTAGTTATCAATGGGCTTAAAGAGTGCATAGAAAGAAAGAAACAAACAAAATTGTAAATGACCCAAGAAATTTGGCAGAAAGTAGTAGAAATAGAGAAGTTATAAAGAAAGACATAAGATCAAGGTAAGATATTTAGGCTATAAAAGACTTGAGTTAGTAGATGAGATGGGAATCTGAAGATAAAGAAAGAAAAATTATTTTAAAAAGGAAAATTGAACTAAGTAAAATAATCATTAGCAGCATCAAGTCAAGATGTATGGCAGCTGAAAATTCCTGAGTATCTAAATCCTCCTTCACCTTCATGATGACCGAAGAAATAGAAGTCCTGCCAGCATCTGCTACATTCATTCATTCATTTGTTCATTCAACAAGTGTTTATGAAACTTGGCCAGGAACCCATCCAGCTGCTAGTGAACCAGCAGTGAACAAAACTGACAAAACCCCTGCTCTCATGGGTATTAAATGCCTCAGATACGTGAGTCCTGGCTCTCCCACCTTTCTGGGGATCTGAGCTGTGCATTCGACTCCCAGCTCTTTCTGAGCCCACAGACAGGTGTACCTAGACACTAGGTACCATCTCTGACAGCTGGAAGTTTGGTTCCCTGAATTACTCCACAAACTTCACAGCTTGCGAGCTGCTTACCCATTACCTGAGCAGAGAGAGAATATAATCATTTCTAGCTCATCATCTTTTTCTCTTCCATATAGAACCTAGAGAGGGTTGGGGTAAAACAAAATTTCCCCTACCCTAAGCTACTGGTAGAATTCCCAAAATAAGACGAACTTCTCTAGATGATTCACCTAAAAAACACTCCACACTTCTCCTGTGCCCCTGACAAAAACAAGCAAGGGAAGCTATTATTCTGGGCTACAGGTGGAGATCAGAGACGGGCATTCAACCTGATGGAAGCAGAGAGCAAGACTTGAGTATGTGGACTCTGGAATAAGACCACTTGGGTTCCAAGTGTAGTGTCCCCACTTGTCAGCTTTGACACCTTGAGCAAGTTAACCTGCCTGAGGAGCAGTTCCATAATTACCATCATCATCATCATCATCCACCTACATCAAGGAGCTGTGCAAATGAGATACAGTCATTGAAATGACCATGTGGGCTGAGAGCTGGGGCCAAAATGAAAAGAGAATAAAGGCTGTAGGAGAAAACATCCAACGGTCACTAGATGACCCTGTGAAATAGTGTTTACGTAATGGTTCGCCCTCCTTTAGACCCACTCAGCCTGGACATGGTGAGACAGGAAGGATAAAATTTCTCTGTCCACTTCAGAAATTGAGGGTTGGTATAATTCATTCTTAATTCTTCATGTCTGGGGCCAATGGGCTTATGTCATATGTTTAAAGAAAATCTATCTTCCTCTTAAAAACATAAACTCAGTGCAACTATGAGGTCAAAATTTCAGCTAAAGACTGGGTTCCTGCAAAATGTCCATAAAGTGTCTTACCATTTATGACAGGACAGCTGTTGCCTCTTTTTCCAAGAAGGAATTAAAGGATCTTATTACCCTAAATGAGAATGACTGAAGCATGATTATTGTCCTTTTAATCTTTTTCTCCCCAGTGGAAATTTACATAAGATGGAGCTGTAATCCAGTCCTTTCATGCCAGCAGCGTGTCAGAAAATCTCCCCTCTCATGGTCTCCATGGCAGCAGGTCTCAACCTGAGCCCAGGCAGCATTTGCCTCGTGGAGCAGATTTGACTTTCATCTGGTGAATGCAATCAATGCAGACAAGAGTGCTGGATGCCTCCAACCAGAGATTATTTCTGGGTTTGAATTCCATGTGTGTTTTGGCTCTCTGTATTGGTTAAACTCACCCGATGAATTCACGTCTGTTTGTTACTTTATGTCTTGATGAAATGGCCCGAGAAGCCTCCTGGCATTTTGAATGCTGGCTTTCACTCTCTACCAATGGTGGTGCTTTTTCCAGTTTTCGAAGAAGGGAGTGATGCGACCAAGCACTTTCCGGATCAGTGAGGACTTGCCTTCAAGTTGTTCTCTCGGCAGTGGACCACTCTTTCTCAGCTCATCTTTTTGTGATGTCCTGAAAAACACTGACCTGTGGCCACTGAACAGAGTTGAGCTCATGAGGGGGATGAGCTATTGTAAAGCTGAGTGAGCACAGCCAGACAGGAATTAGACCCGTGATCCACCCTCATGAGAAGTACCCAATGGAGTGGCCATGTTCAGCATTCTCAAGTAGAAGTTAGGCTTTTCTAAATGGGAATTTAAAGCCTCCACTTGCTTTGTCCTGTGAAAGACCCTGTTTAGAGAATGAAAAGACAAGCTGCAGACTAGGAGAAAATATTTGCCAGTCACATATCCGACAAAAGACTTGTATCCAAACTACATAAAAGCCTTTCAAAACCCAAGGGTAAAAAAGCAAACAAACAATCCAATGAGAAATGGCCAAGAAGATACGAACAGATATTTCACAAAAGTGGAGATACAGACGGCAAATAAGCAAAAGAAAAATTGTTGAACATAATTAGCCATTAGGAAAATGCCAATTAAAAACACAATGAAAAATCCCTACAGCTAAAGGTAATGAATTCCATGTGTTTGCCATCATTGTCTGAAATCACTCACACTTTGTATTTGTCATTCTTTTATTTAGCCTTTTGAAACTTCGTGGGTGACCCTCATATTCCAGTCTATTGGAATCTGGTGAACAAGTTTATGTATAGGCATGTTTTTCGCTGCCCTTCGTGAATTCATAGCATTTGCTCATTTCTTTAAAGCTTTGGTCTTTCCAATACTTTTCCCATCTCCTTTGGGCTCTTGCTCAAATGTAGGTTCCTCTTGATCATTTAGTTTGCCTCTTCTGATGTGCCCTGTACATGTCCTTCCTTGAGTAGTGGACTGATAGAAATTACACACATTCCTGCAAGGGTTGACCCACCTAGGATTTGTACAAGACAGACTGGAACAAACTTTTCAAATTTAGGACCGATAAAAGGTCCTTTTACCTGCTGACAAGTTTGGGAGATATGAATCTTTCTCCTAGACTTTTTTCTTGCCTTGTGGTTTTTTTTTTTTACCAGTTGAAATCTGCATAAAACGAACATCAAGGGCAGCCTCTATCAAAGGAACTAAGCAGCTGTGCCCAAGAACATCAGACAGTGGGGAGAAGCGTTTCTCAGCTGCCACCGCGGGCTGAGGCAGTGAACCCTGGACGGTGAGGGTGATAGACGTTTACATAATGACATCAACATATTTTACCTGCCGGCTGTTAGCTGTCTTCATTTCTTCTTTCACAAGCTCCTCAAAGTATGAGGCCCAGGGTGACCGTCGGGTGTGTCGACCCCAGGGACAACTCTGAAAGTAGCTACAACTTCCATTTTGTCTCTAATGCTGCTGTGAATAATGAGCAGGATTTTCTTGTCCTGCTAAGAAACGCATCATGCATTTTTTTTTTTTTAGCAAAAAATCTACTGTTAATACTATATCGCCTTTCTCACTGGCATCATTTTATGGTTCAATTTGTTTAGCTTTGTCCCCTTTGACTGGGTTTTTCCACATTTGCTATCATACACTTTCTCTCTCTTTTGCTTATTTATTCAGTTGTTCCCGCGCTCATCCGTCATATGCTTATTATGGGCGAGTCCCTAGGTTATGCCCTGGGGACACACTGCAATCATAACTATAACCTAGTGCCTGCAATCAAAAAGAAGCGGCTTGCAGGCTTTCAGCGAGGCCCACGACCCAGCCCAAGCCAATCAGGACGTCACATCTTTTGGCTACAGTGATTGGTTCACAGATGGCACGTGTTCAAAGACCATCCAATCAGAGCCCACAAAGGCTCCCGTGTGAAAGCTCCAAGACCACGGGCCCGTCTTCCGTTTCTTCCCCTCTGTATCCCTGGGGTTTAGAAGAGTGCCGTGTGCATAGTGAGCCCTCAATAAATATTTTTTGAATTATCTAATTCTATGACTTTGGGTTGAGCTAAAAACAGACTACATCTTTCCTACTGTGCCAGAAACCTAGAGGATTCAGGGGCTGGAGCTGCCATCTTGCCGCCACATGGAGAGCCTGAGACTGAGCCAGGAGGACGCTGGCAGCCCCGGGGCAAGAGACACACGACGATTCCATCACGAGAGCCCTGAATGCTGCCTTGCCTGAAGCCAGAGCTGCCCGTGGGCTTCCTAGTTACATGAACCAATAAGTGCCTGTTTCGCGTAGTCCTTGTTGGTTGGGCTTATGTCACTGTTTACTGACCAAATTTTAACTGAAAAAATTAAAAGAAGAGTCATGCCCCACCCTTAAACCAGACCCTTTCAGTCCCTTGCAAAAGGAAATATGGAGCACAGGCACAGAGGACCTGTGTTTAATGGGGCTGCTTTGCATGATGGTGTGTTGCTGACTGGAAGGAACAGTAAGATCAGATGGTGGGGTCTCAGCCCCGCATCCCCACTGACGAGCTGCGATGAGGTCGGGTGAGCCAATACGAAGGACACTTAATGTGAGGTTAAAAGATAGGATCCTGGATTTAGCTTTCCTGTTTAACAGTTCTGTGGCCTGGAGTAAGTCGCTTAACCTCTGTGGACCTGCATTTCATCCAATTCGAAATTGATAACTTGGTCTAAGTGATCCAGTTCTAAAATGTGATTGCCTGTGTCTCTTGACGTGGCACCCACGGCTGCTGCAGCTGCTGCTGTTACAGTTGCCCCTCCTGATGACAGTGGGGGAGGGGTGGTGGGGGCAGGCACAGAGAGAGCAGGGGAGATAGTGTAATGCTTACCATGAAGGAGGTGGACCCTGTGATGTTGGTGAACTTGCTAGTGGTGATAATGGTGGCAGGGGTTTGGGGTAGCTGCAGTGATGGTCTTAGCACATTAAAACTGCCTCTCCTTATCTCCTCTGATCCTCACCACCACCATAAATTGACCTTACGACTGCTTCCAGAATAAGAAACCTTAGAATGTGAAGAAGCTACAAGTTTGAGGGCAGGCAGAGTGTTGTCTTTACTCACAGATGAACCCACGGCAGTTCAGTGTATTGGAGTGATTTTCCCAGATCCATCCACTGGCAAGAGCAGCGGAGTGCCAGGTGCAAAGCTTTCACCAGCAGTCACCTCTGCCCACATCATCCTCAGCTTTCACCCCTAGTTGCCTGTACTGTAGACCCCACGCCAGTGGTTCTCATTCCTGGGCATGCATTAAAACAGAGCTTTCCTTACTAAGCCTCAGCTCCATTTCTAATCACTTGAATCAGTCTCTGGGGGTGAGGTCTGTTATGGGCTGAACTGTGTCCCCCTGCAGTATTCACATGTTGAAATCCTAACCCCTACACCTCAGATGTGACTGTATTTTGAGATAGGGTCTTTGAAGAGGTAATTAAATTAAAATGAGTTTTTTAGGGTGGACCTTAATCCGATCTGACTGGTGTCCTTATGAGAAGAGGAAATTTGGACTCAGTTACAGAAGGAAGACCATGTAAAGGCACAGAGAGAAGGTGGCTGTTTACAAATCCAAGAGAAAGGCTTCAGAAGGAATCAACACTGCCGACACCTTGATCTTGAACTTCTAGCCTCCAGAATTGTGGGGAAATAAATCTCTATTGTTTAAGTCACCCAGGCTATGGTATTTTGTTACGGCAGCCCCAGCAAGCTAATACAAAGTCTGTACATTAGGAGTTCTTCACTCTCCCCAGCTTATTTTAATGCTCAGTAGGTATCAAGAATGATTGCCCTGTGAGGTAAACCTACACTCCCCAGCCCTCATTCAAGACTCTGGCCACATTCTGATTGTCCAACCACAGATCCTACTTCCCTATAAAAGTTCCCAACTACCATCAGGACCTTCACTGCACCATCACTCAAGAATACCACTCATTTGCTCCAGCTGGCTGTCTCCCTTCCCCAAAGTCTCCACCTCTCCCTTCCACCAAACCACATGCAATTCAAACTTCTATCAAGCATTTACTACATAAAGTATTATGATGCCAAACCATTTATACATATAAAAGTTTTTTTGGTGGGGAGGTACTGGGGATTGAACCTAGCACCTCGCTGTCCAAGAGAGTATCCTAAGCTGGGGAGTAGGCAGAAGAGATTACTGGGCGCAGTGCTGGGCTTGCCTTTCTACTGACTGGGCAGTTTTCATCTCTGTAGGGGCAGAGGTTAATTTGTAAATTTTGGTCTAGTACAGATGCAAATAATTTAACTCTGGTAGAAGAATTAGCTGCAGCAGTTATGTTTTATGGCCCTGTTGGACATTAACCAGCTCTCTACCTAACCCAGTAACTGTATTAATTTCTTACTGCTGCTGCAACAAGGACCACATCTGAGGACTTAAAACAACAGAAGTTTACCTTACGGCTCTAGAAGTCAGAAGTCCAAAATTGGTTTCACTGGGCTAAAATTGGGTGTCTGGTACCTTCTGGAGGTTCTAGAAGAGAATCTGTTTTCTTGATTTTCCCAGCTGCTAGGGTCACGTACATTCTGTAGCTTGAGGCCCCTTCCTCCACCTTCAAAGCACATCACTTCAACGTCCACTTCTCTTCTTACACGTAAGGTCAGCTGTTCACAAGTTCTTACCTGATCACAAGTTCCAGGGATCCAGACGTGGATATCTTTGGGGAGACTTACTCAGCCTACCACACCTTTCTTACCTTCCTTTGTTAAATCACAGGCATACACCTAAATTCTCTAATGCTCTTTGGATAAGTTTTAACATCTTACTGGTCCCCTCACTAATTAGTGAGTTAAATAAAATCTTTGACATGAGATCATTTCATATTTGCCAGAGAGGCATAATCTACATTTTTGAAAAGTACACTTAACATAGCTCTGTGACCCCAAGCAAGTTGCCTCACCTCTCCAAGTCTCCATTTACACATCTGTAAATGAGGATGATAACAATACTTAACTTTGGGGGGTGTTGTCATATGGAACAAATAAGAAAATGTATGTAAAGCAATTGGCCTAATGCCTTGTGCCTTTTAAGTCCTCAATAAATATTAGATGAAGATGGGATGCTGGTGCTGCTGATGGTGATGAAAACTGGGACAAATGCTCCACCATCAGTATCTCTGCATCCCTGAAATCAAAGTGCTGTGCTCAGCGCTCTCTAATTGCCTTTGCAGCTCTCTCTAGCTGTATGGCCAGAGCCAGCAAACACCAGGTACCCTTATTCAATTTGCAAAACAGTCCCCCTTCTAGGTGAGAAAGGCAATGCAACCCCAGCCAAAGCACCTGGCTTGGCAAAGAGGTGCAAACTTATTCTGAGACTCTACCTACCCCCCACCCCCAAGCTGGGCCTCTTTATGGTGTGTACAAACTGTACAGACTGGGCAGGAAGGCCCTAAGATTTTAAAACTAAGTGGTGATGGCGATTATCATAGGAAATACTCCACATTGTTCTCCAGACAGAAGAGGAAAATGCTATGTAATAATAAAAACCTGAGCAGAAAGGCAGGACTTGTCTTTGCATTGATTTCATGCCAGAACATGGCAAATTGCATCAGACAATTGCTAGGAAAATTATTTGCATCAATAAAAATATTCTTACACACTCACACACACAAATTCTTCCCAGAACAACGTCATGTAACAGCCTAGCCAGCCAACATTTCCTCCCCTGGCATACATAGCGATGGATGAAGGCCTCCAGACAAACATTGTAACCTGCAGCTACAGAGGCACTGACCGCAGAACTGCTTGAACTCAGG